CGTCATATGCAACTATTCATATAACAAAGCTCGGCATGTTTGCTTGTTGACCCTTTATGTCCTTCAGGGCGTATTTCGCATATATATATAAATTGATTTAAGAATTGTTAATCGGAAGCAAGAAATCAATATCTGAGTACAAATCTTCAAGCGACCTATTCTTATTGGCCTTTTATCATGACTGATTATTGTTTTCGTCGGGAATATCTTGATGGATGTGCTGCAAGTAAGTTGTTATATCTAGAGAATTAAATGCATTTTTTATTGTTTTGTTGAATTAGTATAAATATAAAATATGTTTGTTGTTTCATTTCTATATATTCTATCATTGACAATTTATTAATAATACAAGTATAATCATGAATAAGTCATAACTGTACACATAAATTAAAAACAAATACGTAGAAAATAATTTCTATTCGCAATCAAATCTATTAGAGATTCATAGAGTGCAGAAATCTCTGAGTCTTTCATGAAGAATTCCTCTGTTATTGGAACTTTCTCATGAAAAAAATTCAAACTATAAATGTTTGATGTCTGAGAGAAGGATGCATATTCATTATGTTTATAGAATAGTGAATATTGGTGGAAAAATAAGTAGGTCTAAAGAGATTATGATCTCGATTAACTATACGTTCATTCAATATATAGGATAATTATGATCACATCCAAGCTGAGAAATACAATGTTGATATAATTCATAACTCAGAATAATATTCATTTCAAGTACGTTGACAATAGAATTTAACGTTAAACAATGAAATCAATCTTTGCCTTGAAGTTTTCCTAGAAAATGACAGAAATAGATAAAACAAGGTCGATTATGAAATGATACAGTTGCTTTTTTATTATTATCCCAACATCAAATGATAAATGGATAAATGAATCTTTTCATTTAATAGATTCCATTTGCATAACGATTGATTGATCATTTTTGAAAATATTCATAATGAGAATGTTGTTCGTTTAGAAGTTGTTAAAATCGAAAAGAAATTAACAAATGAACAACTCAACTATTTACATGAATGTATGTATACCTTTATATATCAAGCCGTCTCAATATAATATTGCTTAAACTAGATTATAGAATAAATCAATACCCAGGTTTGTGGGGTACTGAAGAAATAGCTAAACAGTGGAATATTGATGATTTTGATTTTCATATGGATTTGATGGTTCGTAGATTTTCATTGTATTTTGTTTGTTTCAATATTCTTCATTTATAGGAATGGTTTTTTTGTCGGCGTATGGCTGAAATTGCACTTGAACACCGCCGATCTGAAGCAAAAGTAGCTTCAGCTTAGTTCGGTTAAGTCTCTGATCATTATTATATTACAAAATAATATTTGATTTTCTTTTGTGCGAAGTGTCTCTGATAATGTGTTCTGTTTTATATAGAATAAAAATTAAGATGATCTGATAAAACATTTTATCTCAATTAGAACTTGACGATGACTTTTATTGATCAATATTGATGAATCTTTGAAGACTTGTATTGATTGATTGATATTAAATATATTTTATACCATAAAGATTTTCTACTAATCCGAGTTTATTTATGTAAGTATGCATAGAATAGGAATAATTTGTCTCTTCTTCATTAAAACAAAACGATCCATATCATAATGATCATATTCAACAATAGATTGTGCTAAATTAACACTTTCTAATTAAATAATTGGTAATATTGATTCATTGAATGTATTTGATAGACTTATTATTGTAGAAGAATTTTGTACAACAATTGGTGGTATTGAAGGATAAATATTTTTGCTTTTTTTTTTGTTTTATTCTATTTATGAATAAGTTTTGAGCATAATGAGAAGGATTAGATGATTGAGAAAAGTTTTTTTTTTAATGGATATAGTGCTGATTCAAGTTGATATTGTTGTCGATTAATAGATAATGGCGAGTTAGGACTTATTAATTTTTGTGAAGGATGACATTTTAATGAACATGGAACTGTATGTTGGAGATAAATCATTCTTTCATTTGATAAATACTTTTGAATATTTGCAATTTGATTAGAGAAGATTTACTGATTGTTAATTGACAAGAACAACGAGATAAACGGCATGGTATTGATGATGTTTATTTTTCAGATGTGAGTGAATTAGATAATATATTTAGGGTATATGTGAAGCAGTGGTAGTAGTACTATACGAAATTATAGAAGGGCTAGATAAAGTTTTATATATATATATATATTGAGAGTCCAAACAATGCTCTATGATTCTATAGCATTTTACCATCTTTCATTTGCTGCAACAATATTAGAATTGCAATCATAGCTGTTCAACTCTGATTTTGTTGTCTAAGAAAAACTTTTGCTTTTGAATTTAAGTCTGTACTGCACTATATTTTGTTGGCAGCCAAGTTCCATCTCTCAGAACAGTTGAAAAATAATATGAATGATTTTGTGAAGGTCGGAACCACGATCTGGCGTATCTACTATCGAACAACATCCATCCATTACCTTGTTAATGATTTATGCATATCATCATTCCATCGTTCTAAGAGGTGGAGCTCGACCACCGAAAACAAAATATAATTTATCATAATTAACTCTCACTTGAAGAAAGTTTCCTTTATCTAACAAAACTAGAGGTGAACAGTTTTGATCGAGATTCTTACATAATTACATCTACTGAAGAATAGTGAAACATTATAAAATTATACATAATCAAAACAAATTATATCCGTTAAGTTATATAGCTTTCTTACACCATGAATAGCAGAAGTAAAAAGTTGACCGAAGTCCTAGCATCAACCTAAGTGTAGATCTCACTAAATGTATAGCAGATTTTTACGTGTTACGTCTTTGTAGCTACTTATAGCATAATAAAGGTAAAGAATTTAAGAAATTTAATCAGTTGGATTTCAAACATAAGAATTTCGTACGAAAATGATTCTCTACAAATCCACGCTGCTAAAACAATGTTTATCTTTTTCGATGAGTGATTAAGACAGTACAAGATCGTCTATGTGGGTATTTTTTGACTCTTCGTTCTCGAGGTCATCGTAACAGAAAAAGATAACTTTTGATGTGTTTATCTAGTAAGTAAAAAAAGAAAAAAAAAACTTGTAAAGGACTACATGAATGTGGTGCGAATCGATCTTAATTTTCGGCAATGGAGTTTCAATTAACATAAGGATGATAAACGATTTCACCTAGAGTCGATTATGTTCTCTCGAAGGTTTTTATTATCTTTCCTACTCACAACAGTTGATTGGAGACGAGCTTACAACTTTTAATTATTTCGGGTAAAAGATAGAGACCAAATCGTCAAAAGCACCTTTCTGCAGAACTTACTGAAGATGAACAAAAACTTATATTGAAGATTCAAAAACGTTTGTATCACCTCGAGACATGAATCTTTCTGACAAATTTCAAATAAATTTCTAGAGACTCGCCGTTCTCTACAACATCGCAACACAAAGTACAGATTTTGTTACAGCGAAAAACACGCAAAAGTATGAAGGTCGAATGCGTTTGCAAGCGACTACAAAAATGCTCTGCTGCGTTCAGCACTTTTAGCTCAATAAACAAAGCAAAACTTGTCGTAGACTCATCATTCTCAGATGCATCTCCGTAGGAGATATTGGAATCACAGGAACGAAAAAATGCTCCTTCCTCAGCATTTCTCAGTCACAATATGCTTGATAGAGCTGAAAGTCTTTTTATAGATACCAGACACTGTATGAGTTGCCTGGTTGTTTTTATCTCCTACCAATCAAATAAAAACATCAAATCTTAAGAGCAATCTAAAAAATGCACCTTTTTTTTTCTATTCTTTTCAACTGGAGCTTTTTTGGTAGAGCTTGGCATATATCAGGAATACATCGTGTTTTGAAATAAAAATAGGTAGACATTCTATAGTATAAGTAGAAGAAAGTTTCAGTTCGATCAGATATACTGTAGTTGATCAATAAAGACAGTTCTTCACTTTTTTCTTGTCAAAAGTCTCATTTATCAAAAACCACGAAATAATATGTAAATTTTTAAAATTTTTCTTTCGGCAGAAATCTTCCATCTGTTCCGATTTTTTGTAGTTATAAATCAATTCTTGAAATATGCATCAATAGATAGAAAATCTATAAACAGCAATCCATAAATAATAAGTATCCACCAATAATCATATAATTCAATTGAATTAATGAATGTTATTCTTTTTTGATAAGATACAATTCTATTTAGATTGTTGTTTTCGAATGTTTTCAAAATTCCAATTATGCTCTTAAACAAAACAATTAGAGCAATATGCAGAACAAAAAAATACACACAACAATCATCCAATAAACAAAAAAAACGAAGATTATTTCACACATACACATTTTGTTTTTTGTTAATAACAAACAATATTACGTTCGTAAGTAGTATATATAAATCTGTAAAGAATATGAAATCCATCAACAATTCAAAGAAAGAAAAACAAAAAATGAGCTCAATAATAAATACATTATGATAAACAACAAAAGAAATCAGAATTGTTATTAGGACACATTTAAAATAATCATTTATTGTTCTATCAACTGCACAACAACAACAACAACAACAAAAAAAAAGAAGAAAAATACATGTTGGCTATCAACATCAAGTAGAATTTCATGGAAAATACTTGATTCAATTTTGAAATAGACATAGAAGAAAAAAACCAAGCATTGAAACTACATGTCTAATATGTGCCTGCATTCATTAAGTTACAAAACGTGATCAATAATCAATTTATAATTTATTGCATAACCATCCAAGAAAACAAAACGACAAAAATTTTAGTCCAAACAAACACTCAAGTGCGCAAAAAAATCCAAACATATGTGTTCATTATTAATAAAAAATAGACATTTATAAGACAATAATCGTGCAAATGCATTATAAGAAAAACAAAATTCTGACAAACACACATAAATTGAGATATTTGATGTTATGAGACAAAGAAAAAAGATAATTCCACACATCTGAACAAATGCATTTAAAAAAAGAAAAGAAACTATCAATTTTATAATTCATCATTTTGAATAGTAGTCGATGTATCAGTTCCATTATGAGTTGTTAAATCTCCATTGGTTGCTTTATGTTTTAATTTTCGTGAGAATAATGATGGATGACGTTTTAATTTTGCTCGATCATTCTAAAGAAAATAATTCAATTGATTTATATTCGATTACAAATGGATGAAAAAAAAAACTTCTGGTGAATTTCTTTTTTAGTCTGATTCACCAAGACAATATTAAACAAAAAAAAAAGGGATAAAGCAATAGTACAAGCCGCTGTTTTTTCCTCACATATACTAACCGATAGGGATAAAAGCATAGTGACATACAAAACAAACATACTGTTGTATTATTTTACCCTCTCGGAATTATAACTGAAAAACAAAAAAACCATAAAATTCATTTTTTTGTCGAATATTCAGGTGTTTATTGTTTTTTTTTTTTAATGAAGAATTTTCAACTTACTTCATCCATTTTTCGATCTGTACCATTAGCAATTAGAAGACGAAATTCTCGTTCAAGAATCTGACGTGTCTAAATATAGAATAATAACAAAATTATAAATCGATAATATCATTGTTTTTTTCTACTGCAGTTAAATAGAATAGTACTTCGGAACAAAATATTTTCTCATCTGTTCATTAAATTTCAAAAAACCCGAAAATAACAAAATATTGTCTAAAATCCAGATTAAATCCTAATTATCATAAGATTCGATCACTGTTATATAAATAAGAAAAAGTTTCATAAGAAGAATTATTTCACACAGTTGCCAATGCAATAAACTATTCATTATTTGTAAATATAGATTATTTAATTTTATACATGTTGGACTATAAATATAATATGAATATATCCGATAGATTCAAAGGCATAAGCCTAATTTCTTTTATCAATAATAGAAGTTTTTTGTTTTCATAAGAAAATAATTAATGAACATAACTTTCAATTGTTAACATTTACTTCAATATGTATTCTAATCTTTCACAGATTCGGAACGAAGTGTTAAGATAATTTTTATTCAAAAACTAAAGATGATACATATAATAAACTGAACCCGAATCAGTAAAACTCGGTTCGATTCACCCTCTGATACATACAAACTAAACATGAGCGAGATTAGTCGTATTAGGTCTCAGTTAGAAAAAAAATTTGGCTCCGAATCCAGCCTTAAAAAATGCTTTCGGTCAAACAAATTTATCTCCGGTTCTGCTAAAACCGACGCCATTACCGTATTGAAGTGAATATAGTGTTCTTTACTCAAAAACAACTAGTTCAATACCTTCGAACAGAGTATAGATATTGTATGAATAAATGCAGCGTTCAATTTTTTTTATAAATTCTTCGTTTTCAAAAAAAAATTGATAATTTCTTACCATTGTTTGTTGATTTGGTATTTGTAAAGCTAATGCTAATGCATTATAATCAAATGTTTCATCAAGTGCAATAAGTCCACCATGTATTCCAGATTCTATTAAATTATTTGCATATTCTTTTAATCCATTAATTGTTATTAACCATTGAATAACTCTTTCATTAGTCCATATAATAACATCTCGATTTTCATTTAATGATTCTTCACGTCTTCGATCAAGTTCTTTTTTATCATAATTTATTCGTTTTAATACAAGAATACCATAATGAAAACTTGTACTAAACAAAAAAAAAAGTTTTCTCTATATCTAAGAAAAAAACAACTTGATTAAATTTCTACCGATGAAAACTATCAACCATTTTTAATTGTTTATTTAAATCTTTTTTATTTAAATGTTCAAGCATTCTTGCATCAACAAGACATTCCATAAAACATGTACGATATTGTGGTAAACCTAAACTTGGTAACCATTCATTACCAATCCATTCATGATTCATTTCACCAAAAGCTAATGACTTCAAAAAACAAAAAAAAAAAACTTTTTTTCTAAATAAATTTATCTAATTTACAAAACTTACTGTTACAGATGTTCGAGGTCCATTTGGTGATGTTAAATTTAATATTTCTTGTATAGCTAAACGTAATTTAAGTCGATGTAATGGATTACTAATACCAATTTGTCGTTGAATTTCTTCATCATTTAATTCAGACATAATCGCACCTGATTTAACATTAGCACGACATGCAGCTACATACCATGCTGGCATTTTAACCCATAACTTAATAAAAATAATAATTTAAAAAAAAACAACGAAAATAATTGTTAGATACAAACTTCAAGCCAAGCAACAACAGTTGCACCATCCCATGTTGGAAATGGTCGATTATTTTGTATTGCATCTTCGAGTAATTCTTGTCTAAAAACAGATTTTTTTTGTTTAGAAACAAAAACGATCATGATTTAATTTACTTTTTTTTAATACGTCGATCAAATTCAGTTTTACCTAAACTAAGTATTGTACCAGTTGTTGATTCTGTCATTTCATTATCATTTGGTAGAGATGATGCTAAAAACAAACAACAAAAAAAATCAATTTGTTTTTGTTTTTTTTGATAATAAAATATTTACCACGACTTATATAAGATATTGAATGAACATTTTCACGTATTGATTTATTATCCATAAGATCAGATTTACGTGTAAATAAACGTCCAAGAGAATTTCGAATACCTTTCTTTTTTTGTTGTTGATGATTTCGATTATATATACTATTATCATCACCTGATGTCGAATTTTGAGAACTGATTGGACTTGGAGAATCTTGATTAGTTATAGATGATAATGATGTAGGTTGAAATGTGGACGGATTTGAACTATAATTATTAATGAAAATTAAACTCAATTTTCACTTGGAACTATTGCTATTCAATCAGTCATGACAAAAAAATTTGATTGTTTTTGGTTTTCCGATCTTTGCTTGTTGCGTTACGAGCGCGTTCTATTCGATTTTACTATATGAGGATAGAATTTTGATGATCAAATTTCGAGCTGAAATTTTTATCCATAGATAAATCTTATAGTTATTAGAAATGCTGCAATGTTTGAACTAGGATAAATGTATTCGTATCGAGATATCAGCTTATCATAGAAAACACGCAGTCCTTTAAGATGTTAGACAAAATCTCAGCTCGAAATTTGATCGGAATAAAGAAAGGGATGCTAACTAAAATAGTACTTCATCCTTCCTTTTCTAACTCAAAATTTTTCTGGCCATTGTATAGTTTCAAATGTTTCGCGTTTTTTTTTTCAAAACAATTTTTTTCATGAAAAAAAAACAGGGTAGCAACACTCCCAAGTCTTCGGTGTAGAATATTGGATTGAGCTGAAACTTTTTTCACATATACACTAGACACTATTTTCGGATGAATATTTATTTTTTATTATTCTACTGGTAAAAAGATGTTTAATGATTGTAGAAAAAAATTTTCAGCTCAATGAAGCAACAGAGACCGTTGTGATCTCATAGAAGATAGCATTCGAAAATTTTGAGTCTATGACAACTTTCGCTATACATCTATCTGCCTTAAAAATTCCAAATATTTCTAATAAGCCATTCTCTAGAACATTTCCGGAAAGTGGGATACTCTTAAATTCATATTGAGAAAGCAATACCGAAATTCATCATAAGTTAAATTTGATTATCATAAAATAATAACAAAAATCAATTTTCAATAATTAAAATATATACAATCATTTGATTCTCTCTTATTGAATCAAAACAGACAAAACAAAAAAAAAATTATATTCTTACAAATAATGTTTTGTATTATCATCAACATGTTGTATATTTGTTCTTAATGGTGCTGTACTAATTCTATATTGATTTTGAATACTTGATGATGAATGATAAACATGATGTGGTGTAGCTGTACGTATATTTGTTGTTACTCGTGCTGGTGTTACTGTTGGACTTGATTCACATTTTTCATAACGTGTTGTAGTATTATAATCATTATGAAATGAACGTGGTGATTGACGATGTATTGTTCGATCATAATCCTAAAATTATTTGAATAGATGAAAATAAATATTATCTTTTTTTTTTAAAGTTTACATTAGAATCTAATGGATATATATTGGGAGGTGTCTACAAAAAAAAATAAAGTTTCATATAATTAAAAAATTAAATTTTGAAAATTTTACAGTATTAAATTTATAAGGTTTTCCATTTGGTGATATTGTATTTGTATTTAATTTTATTGTTGATAATGAATTTTGTGTTAAATTTGTATTATAATGATTATTATTTTCATTATCATTATCATTTTCATTATGTAAATGATAAATAGAATTTCCAACAACACGTGATTCAAGTTCTTCAGCACGTAATTCTGTATTAGCTTTTTCAGCTTGAATCATACGAATTTCATTATTAATAGCATCAAGTTGTTCTTGTAGAACAAGTGCTAATGTTTGAGCATCACCATTATGATGATGATGATGATGATGAGGATGTGTTGAATCATTATTAACTATCACCGGATGTTGATGTTGATATAAACTATCATCATCATCAGTTGTTAATTCAACATCAGAAGATTCAAATGCTAAACGAACATCATTTATTACTTGAGCTTGATCAATTGTATCCCAATCAGGTTCGGATGTCTATTAAGAAAAAAAAATTAATACGAATAATTATTTAATTAATTTGAAATTCAAAATTTGATTTCGAATGATAGGTTGTAATTAAGATCAACATTTGAGATGTGCGAGATTAAGTTTTATTGTTTCCGATCTTCGTATGACTAGTACTTTATGGATCATCTTTGTCAACTTATCTTCTGATCAATATAATTTATAAGATACTACACTTAAAACCATAGAATCTATGTATATATATATATATATGATGTTCAGTATCTGTCTGACGTCTCTGTGCCCAGATCAAAGGTCAAATAAGGCTATACGGGGAAGGTTATAAGTGCTGCTATATTGGGATACCCATAGATCCTAATGAACTATTGTATGAAGGTATCCTTGAGTCCTCAAGTCCTATTCTATAGAGATACCCTTAGATTCTCAAGTCCTATTATATGGAGATACCCATAGGCCCTCAAGAGTTGTTATATGAGGGTACTTATAGGTTTCAAGGATTATAAGGGTAGGGGATAAGAGGCTAAGGCTACAGGGACATAAGGGATAAAACTAAAAGAGTATAAGAAGATAAGGGTATAGCGGATAAGTAGATTAGGTTGCATGGGATATAAGAGATAATGGAATAACGAAATAAGGCTATAAGGTCTCTCAATATATATAATGCGAACTGTCTGATTCTCTATTACCGAGTCAAGGCTAAAGGAAAAATGTGAAACTTTTCAGGAAAAAGACATCCGTATAGTATACACAGGCTCTCGCTAGTACTTAACTACTAGCAAGCACTTATAGTTTCGCTTCATTTGTTCAATTCTAACGATTCTGCTCCTTATCTCAGATGAAAGAGTAAGAGTTGTCCTTTAATTTTAATTTAAGAGTTAAAGTTTTTATCGTTTCGATAGATTATTGTTCTAGCTGTTGGTTAGTACAAACGTTGCTTTATATATCCTGTCCACAGAATGTTCGAGAAAGGTCTAGAAACTTCTGATGAACTTTGTAGGCTTCTGGAAAGTTTTAAAAAATTCGAGAACTTTGACCTGACGCAGACAGACAACCGTGTTTTATTATAGAGGTATGGATAATTTTTAGTTTCGATTAGGGCAACTTTTATTTCGTAGTCCCAGTCTCGGCCAAGGCAAGTGTGAATGTCACAGTGAAATCTATGTAGGCTAGTAGACGACGCCTTTCGCTATCTAATGGTCTATGCATTATGAAGTTCTGTTGTGTAATGCTGAGCTGTCAATAGAGAGTACCATCTCCGCCTCTGTTGGCATTTCTCTACCACGCAAGAAAACTTGATCGTATATACATCACTAGGTAGAGAAGGTGTTACTCAAGTGACCTAGATATATTTCATTTGTGAATCAAAACTTTATAATCATTGATACCAGGTCGAAATTTAGAATTATGACTGTGTAGGATGAAGAAGGTATGAATTTCCTATTAAATGAAACGTTGAAATCTAGAGTTAATAGATACCGAGAAAAATTCCTCTTTTCGAGTCTATTTTAAGTTGAGGTAAACTCCTGAATTGACTAATGTGAATTAAACTGATGCTTTGCTCATACGTAAGCTGTAGTGAGATTAGTAAAAATTCTAAAACGACACGGACTCTTGAATTTTCTTTTTGATGTAATGGATATTTTTGATGAGTTTTCAACAGGTAAGAAAAAAAGATATTGACAGAGGTATCTAATGATCGAATTGTGATCTGAAATTTTGGTCCATATGTATGTCTAATGACTTTTAGAATATTCTGAAAGTTTCGATCGAAAGAAATTCAGGACATTCTAAGCGTCATTAGATGTACATATAGATAAAAATTCAGATATTTTCTTCAATACTTTATCCAGCTGTCAAAAACTCATTCAAAACAGTCATCACTTCGGAAGAAAGTCTAAAGACTTCTTATCCTTTTAGACTTTACAATACTTTACAGTTAACATTGAGTTTCATAAGTACATACATAAGTCGTATTTTTATCTGCAGGAAAATTGCAAATTTTAGTTTGGCAATACAATAGATGTTAATTTCATGAAGTTTACACTGATATGAACAAATATAACAATTCTGTAGAGAATCAAACTTTCTATCTCATACGATCAACATTACAGTCAAAAACAAAATGTAAATATGTAGGCTATTTATAATAGGTTAATCCTTATTTTTAATAGTATCTTACTTGTAACATATGATCATTAACAATTGGTACTGATATATTTCTTCGTCTATTTGTTGCCTCTATTATAATTGGAATAGTTTGTGAAGTACTATTAAGATTATTTTGTGGAGAATTTAAAATTGTTTCACTAAATATAAATAATGAGAGAAGAAAAAAGATTATTTAAAAAGAAAATTTACTTTTTTTGTTGTTTTAAATTTTGTAATTCTCGTCGAACATGATCAAGTTCATTTTTAAGTTTACTAATTTCTTCTAAATACTTCGTCTTAAAAACAAAACAAAACAAAGAGAGATAAAAGAGACAAAAATTGATTAATTAAATTTACTCGTTCATTTTGTATTTCATCAAATTGTTTTTTTAATTTTTCATTTTCTTGTACGAAATTATTTTTTTCGTCTAATAATTGCATACGTTCTTTTAATTGAATTTGTAAACGTTCATTAGATTCAGCAAGTAATTTATCAACTGTTGTTGATAAACGAATATTATGTTCTTCTGTTACTTTTTCACGTTGACGAGCCTTCACAAAAACAAAAATACATTTTTTTAATTTATTATTCGAAACTGATCTCTGTTCATTCATAGCGAAATCACATTTTTAGAAATAGTCATATTTATTCAAGGGAAAATGACGTACTGTAGTACTCCATAGACTCCGAGAGTCCATAGGGTCTAATCGGAGTACAAGAGTACGTTGCTTCTCCCTAGGGAGCAATGGATTCACAAAAACGTTTAATTGGATCTGACAGAAAAAAAATAAAAGATGAAATCCGGATCCACAGCTCCCTATCCTTCGAGATTTCTCGAAAATCGATTTTTTAGGAGGATGTTTTTTGCTGAAAATTTGACCATAGATGAGGTTTGTGTTGTAGAGTTTATTCTGAAATTTTCGGATTTTTTTTCTCATATGATTCGAGAGATATTCGCTAATTACTTTTTAATTAATAGAAAATAAAGTCAAATGAAAGATGGGCATACTTCGTTTAGTCTAAAATGATCCATATACCTAGAATAATAATATAAGAAAGAAAAAAATGAGATTTCCATTTTTTCTCTTTTGCACGAAGTAATTTTGTCACTCGATAGTAATTCTATTATGTTCTTTCAACGAAACTGAAAAGTCAATGAGTTCTTTTGATAGAGCGTAAAGAAATATTATTAGAGCACTCGCTCGTAAAATCAGTAGTATCTTGCTTTTTGATTAAAAATGAATTACAATATATTTTTGTGATGGAATAATTTTTTTCCTTAAAATATCTGTTTATATATGAAAAATCAGAAAATAAAAATGTTCCAACGATAAAAGTCTGCCAATTGATTGATCATTTTCAAGTTCGGACTATGTATATTCTAATGAGCTCGAGCTCTTAGCTTATTGTTGCTGAGATTTTGTATTTTTACGATAGCTGTAGTCTTCCTCAGGAAAATTCGTTTTTGAATTTCGACTTGAAACTTTGCATACGTACAGATCTTAATGAGAATAGTTGATTGTAATAGTTTCAGATATTTTCGTTGTTTCTATCCTAAGATAATAATTATGGTAAAATCATGCCGTTTACACTACTCATATGCATGGACAAATTCGATGTTATTATTTCAGGATGGGCATAAATCAAAAGATCTGAAACTTTCAATAATAAACTATTCTCGTTATGACCTGTCTCTGTGCAAAATTTCTAGGCGAAATGAATTTTCCAGAGGAAGATCATAGCATTGATTTGAAAAAATATACTGTAAAAATGTATCAACTCGACAATAATATGCTATGGAAACTGTTTTCAGGATGTTGGCAGCTCATTAGAATGTAGATAGTTCGGACTTCCTTTGTGAGTGATATCTCTGCCTTTCGGTTATTTTGTTGTATGAGATGGTGCCAAGCAGTAGATTCATTAGTCCGACATCTTTCGTACGGTGAGCACTAGTTGTAGCTCTGGACACATAACCAGTCTTGATGCAGAGTTCTCGTGCTTACGAGAAAAGGTTCCTCACTTACGGATGTCGTTCGATTCCATATTATGGCTTCTAGGTAGGTCTCTATGAGAGTAAATGGATTCGGACTCATGGCTTATTGATAGAGAGTTATGACCGTTTTGCTCAATTTTGAGTCTGTAGCAGGGAATTTTCGAAACAATCGAATTAGAGAATATCGACCTAAAATTTTGCTCATAGATAGGTCTGAATCATCTGAAAGTTTCAGCCAAGAAGAATATTCTTTTCTCGAGATATTCAGTTTTCAAAAATAGTCACTTTTCATAGATAAGTCGCAAAAACCGAGTTTATTTGAAAATTGAATATCTCGATAGAAGAACATTCTTTTTTGGCTGAAACTTTCAGGTGATTCAGATCTATCTATGAGCAAAATTTCAGGTCAAAATTCAGTAAAACAGTCATAACTCTTCACCAACAAGCCATGAGTCCGAATTAGAGCTCGTCGGGTCCGCGTCTGACTTCATGAGTGCTACTCTGAGAAAAAGAGTCAATTATAAGTTGATTCTTATAAGATCATGATCGAGATTGCTTCAAAACTGTTGAGGATGTGTGTTCCTAGAGAATTATCAGGTGCGAATTAAAAAAAGATCTCATTAAGTATCAAGAACACAATTCGAAGTCGAGACGGGCTCTAACGCGAATCTTTTTAGTCTCATAGAGACCTATCTCGTAGCCATAATTATGGAATTGAATGGTGTCCGTAAGTGGGAAACCTTCCCCCATTAGTCGCTTGAGCTTTCCATACATACTAACATTAGCAACTTGTCGAGGATTATTCCATGGCTGACGGTACAGAAGTTTAAACACAGTATCTTATAGGTACGTGTCAAACAACCCAGTCATTCACGCATGGTGACTATTGAGATTAAAAAGAAACCTATATATTACTCGTGTTAATTCCATTTGTAGATCATCATATTCATTTTGAAGTTGATGTAGTTTATCATCATTATTTGTATAGGATGTTAATGATTGATTATGTTGTTTTGGTGATGAATCAAGTTCATTTTGATATTGAAATTTTTGTTCTAATAAATCATATTTATCTTGTAATGTTTGATATTTTTCGTCAGCCTAAATAAAAAAAAGCAAAAAAAAACATAACAAAAACTAAAAAAAATTTCTACATGTTGTAATTGAGTTTCTTTTGTAGTTAATTCATTTTCTAATCGATTATTAAATTCATTTAAATGTGTTGTTTCTTTTTGTATATTTAAATAACGTTTTTCTAATGTTGATATACGTTCTTCTTGATCTTCTTTTTGTGCTTGACATTCTTTTAAATCACGTTGATATTTATTTATTTGTTCATATGTATGAGATAAATCACGTTGAAATATACATGAACGTTCTTCTAATTCTTTATTACGATTTATTAATTCATGTATACGTGAACGTGCTGATATTAATTCATTACATTGATGATCCATTAATTCTTGCATTTCAATTAATTTACTTGTTAAATAATCCTGACTAATTGTACCATTTGACATATTCTATTTAGAATAAATTCAAAAATTTATAAGTAAAAAAAAAAAAAAACAAAAATCATTTTACTTTTAATTGATCAATATCAATTATTTTCGATTGTTGAGTTTCACGAACACAAGCAAGCTAAAAGAAAAGTTTTATATTTATATAAGATTTAAGAGAAAATTCACGAAAGAACTAAAGTATTCGGTCAAAATTTTAATTTTATGTGTATTCGAAAGACTATCATCTAAAACTCCAAACTCAAATTTTTAATTCATGTCAATGTCTTATAGTAAAGTTAATCTAGATCAACTTTTTATCACTACCTACTATTAGAGCCCGTCAGATTGATCCGGATCCGCTGATAACAGCTCAAAATTTTCGTAGATACGACGTAAATAATAAGAAAAGGCTAGTCCGCCGCAGCTCCTTCTACATCGAGATCGATGTTTTTAATTCTAAAAAATTCTTTTAAACTTTCACAGGAATACCTTGTCAATTATTTGTAGTTGAAAACAATAAAAAATCTTCTATTATTATAAGAGAGTTCAGTAGACGAAAAAAAATAAACAAACATGTGGACCATATTAAGATGATATATATACACGTCGTGCTAATATCGTTCGTTTTATATCTGCATTGACTAATGCCTATACGTGCGGACATGTAATTATTAGTAAATACGATTAGGAATGCGTATCGGCTAATACTAAATGATACTAGTAAAATAGGAATAGATAATAATGTCGACAATTCGAAATATGACCAATATCTTTTTGTTGACATGGTTAGATACAACTGATCGAGTTACCTATAAAAATGAGCAGATGTCGAAAAGATCAAGTCTCGGTAGTCTGAATATTTTATTCATCATATAGTTAGCAAAAAAAAACATTATGGATAAGTTTTAAATACGAGTCGATATGAACTTCCGTTTCGAAGATCATATTCAGAATCAACAATAAAATCTATATACTCAATACTTAAAATAAGTTCTCGTCAAACTTCAGTCCAATGCTATTCAAAATATGATATTCCAAAACTAAATTGTCAATAGTTAAAATCTCTGAATACCAACTTGTATTTGTTTGTACTATCGACTCGATCATTCAAGTACGAAACTACTGTTTGCGGTTTTTATTCGGTTTAAATCACATGGAGATCATATCGAAAACAAAAAATCGATTTTTTTAATAATAAAAGAATTTTTTTCGAAAAAAGGTAAATGTAATTTTTTTTTTTCATCTAACTATATGGTAAGTAAAATAAAACAATAACAACAAACGAAAACATTGAAACTATCGAAATTTGATGCTTTTGATGTATTTCTATTTTTAGACTTTTTTTCTTCTAACATTACTTCTCTAAATTTCACTACAAAAAAAAAATGTCGTCCAAATAGAACGAAAACAATCTTTTTTATAGGTAATTGTACAAGTTCTATTCAACCATGACAAAAACATATTTTGCTCAAATTTTGAATTGTCGACACCTTACCAAATTCGATTTCACAAGGAAAAAAAAAACAAGTGACATTCGTCAGCTAAATTAATCAAAATATAACTAATTAACAATGCTTTAAGATTGAATGCAAATAAATTCTAAAATAATTTTTCCTAAGCTAGGATTGGGACCATACCAAACTATGATTGGGATTACTGAACAAATAGAATTCTCTCTAGTCGATATATAATCAAACGATAGATAGTTCTGACACAAATAATTATTTGATGAATCCTTTCTAAGAGTGAGAAAAACAATGTTTTCACATGGGACAACATCACTGTATTGTTTCTATTACATACTACATCATATTCTTATTTGTCTATTAAAGATAAAACTCAACAAATAATCAAGGTCATTTATTCCTGTTGTTGGTTTTTGTTAATAACAACTCACTGATAGATATTTTGTATGACTATTGATAAAAAAAGATCAATGTGTGAACATAATAATATAGTTATTAGTATATTATTAAATAAAACTAAATTCAAGTATATATATATATGTATTCAAATTTAATACAAAAAGCAAACAGATATGTCAAATAGATGAATATTTTTTGTTTTTTTCTATGATGATATGTGTTATCTTATCTATTGTAAGAAAATAATAAATCTTTTTTTTGACTAATTACATTTTTTAATAATTGATTTATATATATATTCTTACTTCATTTTTTGTTCGTTCAAGTTCATCTTTAAGTTGTATATTTTTTTCAATTTCAATTTTTAGACGTTCTCGAACCTTATTATAATACAAAAGAAAAAAAGCAAAAATAATATTTTTTTTTAATAAATATCATTTAAGAATAAACAAAAAAGAGTTTACTTTTTCATCTAATGCTTTATGATGTTCAAATAAAGATTTCAATGCTTTAAGTACTTCAACTTCCGATGAAACACCTTGAGCTTGTCTACGCATAACTGTTGTTCGTATTGAACGTTCATGTCGAGCAACAAGTTGTTCTAAATGTTCTAGAAGTAACTAAATAAAAAAAAAATAAAAAAAAACATTCTTTTAAGAATTCTAAGAAATATTTCGATTTGATTTATTTATTTACACGTGTATTATTTCGTTCAGCTTTAAGTTCTGTTACTTCATCGTCTTTTTCAGTTAGTTGTTCACGTAATTGAGCTAATTCACGGACAAGGGTTACATAATCCTAAAATAAAAATAACAACAATTCATTGTTTTATTTTTCTTTCTATGATGAAATATTTTTTTAAAGATGTGTTTAATCAATAGTTAATATCTAAACCTTCTCAGAATATAAATGAGAATATGTTGACTTTGTCCATGGTAATGGTTGTGTATATTTTGTCATTGAAGTTTCATTATCATAAATCGTTTGTTGGTCATATTGATTTAAAAAATTCAATGTTTGTGAAAAATCCATGAATGCTTCTGATTGGGTTGCTATAAATTTTTTTGGCCATAAATATTGATATTTTGCTTGTTTATCATTCATTAAATCGTTATCATCAACATCATCAAATGCAATTGCACTATCACTACTTGTTGAACTTGTCATTGTTATTGTATTTGTTTCAGTCGATAAATCATTATCACTGTAATCATCATCATTTTTATCCAAATTATTGATTAAATAATCATAAAGGTTTGATGATGAATGCATTTTAATGAAATAATCAGATTGATTTGTATCGAAAAAAACTAAGTTTGTTTGATCCATCCACTATATATATATATATATATACTTGAATTGATCAAATAGACATCAACATGAGAATGTCTATGTGCAGTTGATTATCGGTAAAGCTAAATAATCGACAAATTTGTCGTTCTTGTGTTGGTTTTCTCTTTCTCGCGTTTCTCTATTTATATATATCTCTTTCTCCTTCTTTTCTTTTAGACTTCCTTTGACTATGCTTAGAAAGAACAAATAGAAGTAAAAATTATTCTTGCAACGATTTGTTTATTGAAGCAGTTCAATCATCATTTTCACACATTACTAAGTAGTGACGTTGTCATCGGTAATCATGAATTGTCATCAATATAACCTTGTATTAAACGATTGGTTTGTTGAATATATTTCAATGTATACAATCTTGATGATGTTCTCCGAGGATAAAACCCAAGGTCTATATAATACCTCTAGTCAATGGATATGAATAATAAAACAGTGCAATGTCACCTAACGTTGTCGTCAATTGAAATTGGTTAAAAAAAAATTATAAGTAAGCACTATACATATAAACGCATCAAAAAGAATAATAGATCGATTTGTTTGGTATTAAAATGACGTTTACTTTTTTTTTCTTTTTAATAGACAATCAATCATAAAAATAATATGATATCAATCTATTGAATGTCACGTATTTCTTTTTGTCTTCATTATCCTTAAATACAAAAAGAAAAAAAACGAAGAGCATCACATTTCATTATCTATATTAAATTACATAAGAATGTTATATGTATTCAATTCCCCTATGATAGATTACAAAACAATAAAAAGAATGATCTAATCATTATAAATTTTCAATATATATGAACATAACTGAGAATTATGAAAAAACAAAAAAAATAACATAACGATATTTTGATGATATGAGTTATGTAAAAAGAAAATAGCTAAATATTTATTATCATTAAGGACGATCATTATATTTATCATTAATGATCTATATATATAAACAAGTAAGTAACGAATCGTATTCGAAAAGAAAAAAAAAAGTAGCCTTGTTAAAAATCGAAAGATTTTATAAATAGATATCAATGACAGTTGCTTATATTTCGTATTGATTGATATAAACACACGTTTAATATCGAATAAAAACTACCGTAATATATGAATATAAAACGGACACAAAAAAAAAAGAAGATATATAGATATACATATAGATTACAAACCTGTGGTGTATTTAATGATAATTGACGAAGTAAAATATCACGTTCTTTTTCAATATCAATTAATTTTTGTTGTGAATTATTTAATGTATCTTCTGTTTCATGTAATTTTTCTTGTAACTTTATATTAAAATAAATAAATAAATTTTACAAAAGAATTTTTATTTCTTTTTACTTTATCACGTTCTTCAAGCATTGATACCATTAACTGTTCAATATTTGTTTGAGGTTCATCACCATTATCTGATCCAATATCATCATGATTGATACCATTACCACTACCACCAGTACCATCTTCAGGTATTGGTGGCATCACATCACAAATCATATCGGCATACATAATTATAAGAAAAAATTCTTTTTTTTATTTTCTACTACCTTAAAAAAAAATATCAAAGAATAATTGTTTAATTATATTATACAAATATTAACTTACATTATCAAAATAAAACAAAAGTTGATGTGATAATGAAAAGAAATTATAATTATAATAAACTAAGATCTAGAAGAAAGAAAAGATATATATCTATATATATATGTTGAAACTAATATTGTCTATCTTTTTCATCTCAATTCTCATAATAATACTTGAGTATTTTGATAATTATAAATCACATCTAGTACTACATTAGAATAAGCTAAAGGCTATAAATGAAGGACGAGAACAATAGAAAGAAGAAAGTATGATGCATTATCGATGATTGATTGATTGATTTTGCAATGAACGATTATATATGAAAACTCTTATTTATTAATCTATCAACAAATGAACAATTCTTCCCTTTTTTTTTGTCATATATTTGCTTATATGGGATCAATTTTCACTATTAAAAGAATAAAATCAATCAAAAAAAATGACTATTGTGTAACAATGATGTTAAATGGATTATAAAAATGTGATTAAGACTTTTTTTCTCCTATTTCCTGTGCCTTTTTTTGTGTTACTGCTTGTTATGCAAAACAAAATCAGTCGAACAAAAAAAAAACCTAGAATAAGTACATTCAGCTGTCTATATGTCAAAAGAGAATAGAAGAGATAAGACAAAAAAAAAAAAAAAGGAAAATTCATGATATGAAGAAGAAGAACTAATGTTCAGTACGTTAATATGAAAAATGACCTATCTATCAATAGAGGAAGAGAAGAACAAAGAAAAACGATAGCGTTATGTTATTAGTAGAAAACTGACAAGATAAAACATTATGATAAAACTGAATCACATTTAATACTTATATGATTAAAAGCAAAGTTTTTTATTTTTATTTAATTAACTATACTCATTTGAGATAATACTATAAATTGTATTATCTATAAACAATAACATTATATATAATAATCAATGAATTACTTGACAAATTAAGGAAAGATTATCATGATACATACTTATACAGTTAAAGAGTAGAAGAATAGCTTTCGAAGAAATAAATAGCAATAATATTTATGACAACGTATCTTCTATCATTATCCTTGATCGATCGTTCAAAGTAAATGAGACTATGAACAGTATCTGTATTTAGTGGTCATAAAAGCGAAACGCTTGACTACAACCAATATATATACATACATATATACGTGTTGGATGGATATATGTGCGTGTATACATATCTTAGCATGCATTATAATGGGATAGACAATTGCGTGAAGCGTAGAAGAAAAGAACGGATCTTTATCGTCAAAAAATACAAAGAGAACAATCGATAAAAGATATTACGCTTCGGTCACTCATCAATAATGTTCATATACATAAAAATCAAAACAAACTGATGAAATGTTCAGTTGACTATAACACAAACCATGAAAAATATCAATCCTATATATATATTATACTCATTATTTCATAAAAAAAGAAGAATATATAAAATAATCATTACTATCTAAAATATTTGATCAATTATTAAACTTAATGGATATAGTCAAATTTTATTTTCGTCAAAAATCATCTTTTGAAAAAAAAAAAGAAAAGTGATTATAATTATATCTCATATCATGCAAAGTTGAAATTTGCTATTTGATATTAATGATAAGAAGGCTTTTAGTTTCATTTGATATTGTCCTTTTACAAATATCTGTTTAATTTTTTTTTTCTTACCGATAATAATTCGAATATTAATTTAATGAGAGAAGAAAAGAAAAAGTGTTTTGTTTAATTAAATAAATAGCTTTCTCTTTTTTTCTTTTTATTAAAGAAAACAAAAGTAACAATATGAATAATAGGTAATCAATAAAAGAATTGAGAGAATTTTAATTATTAATTAAGAAAAAGACATTTGATGTTGAAAAACAAAGGAAAAAGAAAGACAATAATAATTAATGAGACTGGATAGATAAGATTGGAGAAGGATGACTAAACAAACACAATAAGTATTATATATGATCCAATGAAAATAAATTTCTATTTGAGTTTTCTTATTCATATTATTAAGATAATTTTCAAAAGAAATAATCGATAAAGTAATTGAATTTTTAAGAAAAAAAAAACGTTAAATACTTTTTATTTTTCAAAAAGATTTGTATATTAACTCCATCTATCGGTAAAGTTCAACCTCAGATAGATTCAAATTGATTGATAAATTCGACTTTAAATATATTTACTAGTTGTTCTTTTATATTAAACAATTAATTTGATCGTTTAACTAAAAATGCAAAATTAAAGAACTATGCAAAGAATTCAAACTATTATATATATTTAAAATAGAAAAGATTGTCAACTTATCTATAACTACGATCCATAGACGAGAAAGAGAAAGTAAGCAAGCAGAAAACGACTAATACAATGAAAGAATTATATGAAAATGAATCCGATCACAACGACACATTTTCAAAGTCCTATAAGATTCGATTTATACATTTTTATTTTTCAGATACATTAATCTAAATCTACTTTATCGTATGAAATCGACAATCTTTTATAACCTCTGAAAGATTCTGTCTAATTGGGGAAGTCCTTCAAGTGATTAGTTACGTTTGAGTTAGTATAATGTGTATCATGTATACTCTAATGAGCTATGAATACCTTGAAAAGAGTTCATGCTGTTAATTTATTGTTACCGAGACAATGCATTTTTATGGTATTCTTTAAATCAAAGACGTAATTCTCCTCACAAATACTGGAAAAAAAGCTGTTTTTCGATTTGAAATTTTGCACAGAGATAGACTGTAAAAAAGAATAATTTATTATGAAAATTTTGTTTCAGAATAGTAGTACATCAAAAGACCTAAAATTTTCATAATAAACTATTCTCACTAAGACTTGTCTCTTTATGCAAATATTTTAAATCGAAAATCAATTTTTCCAGTATGAGAAATCACAATATTATATTAAAAATACTGTAAAAATGCAGTATTTTAATAGCAATAAGTTAACACTATGAGTTCTTCTCAGTGTATTCATAACTCATTAGAATCTACATGATGTCCATAGTGTCGACACAAAAGTGATTGTCTAATTGTAGGATTTTCTTCATAAGACTTGAAATAGATATGTTATCGTGATCAATATTTTTCTGTTCTCCGAACTAGAGTTCATGATAGGGAAAAAAAAGTCTGATTGATATAAATTCATATTACCTAAGAAATCTGATTATCAAAGACGGTCTGATCAGACAAAAAAAAATTCATGTTGAAACATAAAGAGTGTTCCATAGGGAAGGTCACTGTGACTTGAGAAGTTTTAAGCGAATTTTTTTTTTTTGATACGAGAAATATGAATGTTCAAATTTTCTCTCATATGATTATCATGCTATAATAAGAGAACGACAAAGTGACTGAACGATGAGCTATTATTTTTAAATTATAATTATATTGTTATTTTAACATATAACGAATGATGATTAGATTGATTCATTTGTAATACTTTGATACCGATTTATATTACAACGTCTTCCATGATTAAAAATATATCGTCATGAAAACTAACTAAAATGATTCTTTTTTGTTTTAATCTCACATTTGTTGACTTAGAGATTTTTTTTTAATCTAAATTTGGTTTAAAAAAGTTCGTTTTGACTTTCAAGAAATTTTGAACAGTAATTCATCCAATACACAAATATCTATATTAAAATTTATTTAAATATTTTAGGATATTCTTTGATTTAAAATTTTTTTTTTACATATTAATTCCATAAAACATGAATATATTATATCGATCAATTATTCATTCTTGTCAATCTGATAAGATTATCAAAAAAGATAGAATTATAATGAATTTAATGAGATATTTTAATTTAATACACATTTTCAACGAAAAGAATATGAATCACATAGTTTCAATAGCAATATTTTGTACTAAAAAATTACATTGATTGAATGTCATACTTTTTGTGAATATTGTCAAAGAAAATAGTGAATGTAAACTTAAATCAACGTTTTTGCTCTCTAGACTCTAGCAAGAGGGGAGAGGCAGAAAGCATCTGGTACATTTTTTTAGCAACCAAGAACAATAGATGTCCGACTCCTTTTCCAGAGTTCCTTATCAATGGAGAAAAAGACACTGAACAGCAAGATTTAGAATGTTCTAGAATATTCCTTTGAATGGCTGGTATTACGTTTGCAAATCTTCTAAATAATACAATTTCTGATTTTTGCACAGATGTCAAGGATGATGCATTGATTTGTTACAGTCGTCATATGATCAACATGAAAAGTGTAAACTGATCTAGTTATAATTTTAGACAATAATCAATATCAGTGTCACTGAGTTTATCAAGATAAATAATAGTATTTTGAGATCTTCGGTAGATATAATGGATATGTATAAACAGGCTTATTTGTTAATCAAATCAATGGTTAGAATAACAAGAATAAAAAACGAAAAATAACTATAGTTTGTTAGAGATTTTTCTGATGATTATATCTATTTAAAATAAATCAATTGGTTTTTTTTTTGCATAAAAAAAATAGTATACTGTACTTATTTTTGATTACTATAAATCTGAATAATTAGAATAATTTTTTCATAATACATTATATTCAATTGACAATTAAGAATTAAAAACATATGTTTTATAACTTACTTGAATGATTTTCATATCAAATCAAAATCCAAAGTCTTTATTTATTAATAAGTAGTTATTTTTGTTTATACAAATCTTTTGTAATCAATAAATCAAGCAAAATAAACTAGAAGAATTGTTTATATTTTATCAAGTTTTATATTGATAAGTAGTAGAGTGGAAAGAACGAAGCAAGTTATTTATTTATTATCTTTTGCCTAATTACTTTGTCCTTTCTATCCGCTTGATATAACAAAAAAAAAGAAAGCAACAGAATGATAACAGATTTTACTATTCTTGGCAATCTTTGTATAATCATTTTATGTTTTCTAACATTCAAACGAATTCAAT